GGGGTCTCGCTCTTGCTCAGGCTGGTCTCGAACTCTTGACCTTGAGTGATCCACCTGCCTCAGCCTCCCAGAGTGCCAGGACTACAGGCATGAGCCACCGTGCCCAGCCATGATTTTGTGTTTTTAAGTGAAGTTGAGTGAGGCAATGGAACATGTCAGAGGCTTGTAGACTTTGCTCACACATGGTCCTCATGCCCCACTGTCTCCTCATGATGGGTTCTCTCTCACCTGTTCCTTGCGTCTGGGACTATGGGACCTCCCTACCCCTGCCTTACAACTGCTGCCTCCTGCCAGGGGTGACAACTGAGTTGCATTGTTGGGGGAGGCCCACGTTTAGCCACCACCCTCCACATTGGACCAGGCATGGGAGACCTGCAGAGTCTCTGATCAGACCAAGGGAGGCTGGTTCCCACCCTGGGCAGGCAGTGCCATGATATGTTCAGCTGGCAACCCAGTGTGGACCTCTTGCCCACCCCCCACCCAGGCAATCAGTGCATCTTGCTGCATAGGTTGCAAGCCCTTGGTGGATGCCCGTTTGCCGTGGGTTGGAGCAGTGGGCCCGTGGGAGGGAGAGGTCGACTTCCCCACCCCAGGCCTCAGCCTTACATTTTCATTTTTGTAGTGTGTCCTGCATATTATGTAGCTGGCCTTGCACTGAATTCTGTTCAGTCACTGGGGTATTATTACTCAATAGGACAATGCTACTCCTCCCAATGTTGATAAAGTAAAAAGATGATCTATTAATATCACCTTAATAAAACTTAAGAGCAATCTTTAAGTGAAAGACAAGAACTTGACCACTTTACACCAAAATCTGGTTCAGATGGATTAAAGATGCAAATATAAAAAACAAGACCACAAAAGTACTAGGAAAATACTCAAGAAAATTAAAAATGTATGCCCCTACAAAACCTTGTACATGAATGTTCATAGCAGCATTACTCATAATAGCCCAAAAGGTGGAAACAACCCAAATGTCCATCAACTGATGAATGGATAAACAAAATATGTATATACACACAATGGAATATTACTCAGTCATAAAAGGGAATAAGTATTGACGCATGTTCCAATGTGGGTGAACTTTAAAAACATTATGCTAAGTGAAAGAAGCCATATAAAAAAAGGTCATGTATTACACAATTCTATTTATATGAAATGTCCAGAATGGGCAAATTTACAAAGACAGAAAGTAGATTAGTGGTTGTCACGGGCTATGGGGAGGAAGACGAGAATGTGAGTGACAGCTTAATGCGAACAGGATATCCTTTGGGGTGACGGAAGTGTTTCAGAGTCAGATAGAGGGGATGGTTGCACAACACTGTAAATGTATAATACTAAAAACCACTGAATTGTACACTTGAAGTGGGTGAATTATATGGTATGTGAATTACGTCTCGATAAAGCTGTTATGAAAAAAATATATAATACCAAAGAGAGTTGAAAGGAAAGAAAAAGGGAATGGCAACTAACAGCCAAAAAATAAGTTGGTGTTGCTATATAAATATCAGATAAACTAGACCTAAGGCAAAAATCATTATGAGAAAAAGGTCATTATTTGATAAGAAAAGTAAAAATTCACTAGGACAATACAACTATATCAAATCCTAGATGCCTAACAATATAGCTTCAGGATACTGAAGCAAAAATTGACAGGGTTATGAGAGGAGTTTGACTAATTCACCATCGTATTGGTAGAGTTTAATACACCTCTCTCAGAAACTGGTATCATAAAAAAGATCAGATAAGCTTAATCTAAAGGACACCGCATCCTCGAAATGAAAAAGACCTGGCTGTCCAATAGTCATCTCAACGCTTGCATTCCAGAGCCCTCCGCCCAGCTGTCTTTCCCATCTTAGTTAATGGCAACTCATTCCTTCCAGTGGTTGAGGTCCAGCCCTTGGCTTTGTCTTGGCTTTCCTGCATGCCTCTCTTTCAGCCCAACATCAGTCTGACTCTCCCTTCAAAATGCCTCTAAGCATCCAACCACTTGTCAAGACCTCCAACGCTGACCCCAGCCACCATCACCTCTCCCCAGGGTTGTTAGAACAGCATTGTACTGTGTCTCCATGTTTCCACCTTTGCCCCCGACAATGCATCCTCCCACAAGCTGCCAGGTGATGCTTATAGAATGGTAAGTCAGATCATAAGACTCTTCTTCTCAAATCCCAGTAATGGAGGTGTTTTTGACCTCTTTTATGTCAAGGGATATCTCAGAATAATGTTTTTAAATGCATAAAGTAAGACACATAAAATTATAATATATGAGCTTCATTAAGTAAACATGATTCAGCAGTGGTCTGATAATTACCATAATTTTGCTGCACTGATGAGCATAAGCAACAAGTGATGTCTGCAGATACCTGCAAATCTGTAATGTGATAGGAAAACAGCTGTGCTTTCAATTGAAGAGAAAAGTACAGGTACTGTTCATACTATTGTGGCTTGTTGCCTACTTTTATAATGGAAGGAAATGCTAAATTTCAGTTAAAGCTTCGTGAAAAACAAAACTATAAATTTTCACCTGAATTCTTCCTGTGGACCCAGGGGAACAGCCCCAGCCATGCTAACTGCTGCACTCTGCGTGAAAGCCCAAGTCCTAGAGCGGCTGCGAGCCACCCCTGTGGCCACAGTCTCCTTCCCTGTGCCCTCTCTCGGGATCTCTCGTCTCCCTGACTTATTTCCAAATGGTTGGCTTCTTGCCTTCTCTGCTCCGCCTCACAGGCAACCATGCTGTTCCTCACACATGCTAGGCACACCCCTGCATCAGAAGTTCTTACCTGGAACTCTTCCCAACCCCAACACAGCTACAAGCCTTGTTTCCTCACCTCAACATCAAGTGTTTGCTCAAACCTCACCCTCTCAGGGACACCCCTCCTGACCCTAACCCTCCCACCCCCATTCCCCATTCTATTTTTCTCCATCACACTTCCTTCCTTCTATTTATTTTGTTCACTCTTTGTCTCCTCTCACTACAATAAATCTTCACAAATACAGGAATTTTGGTGTATTTGCTCACTGCTGCAACCCTATGGCCAGAACAATGCCTAGCACACAGTAGATGCTCAATAAATAGCTGTTAAGTTATGCAGCTCGCATGGAGATAGCCAGACAGCTTCTCTGTGCTTATTTTATATTTTTCTATATATAATAAGCACTGCAATTGAGCTATCAAGAGTGTTGTGGAAGCCAGGAAAGTGAATGAGTATGTGGACATTTTCCCCCAACAAGGCTTGAAACTCAGACCACATCATGGTCCACTCTAAAAGGGCCAGGGCTTTTCCTAGACTACACTAGTGCTCAACAGATGTTCAATGGGACATGGGGCTGTTTCCTAAGTATCACAAAAATGTGATCATTATTTCACCAGTCTGTCCATGGAAATCTGTTAATTAGGGGACACAACCATTTTGCCCTATATTGTGAAGCTCTCATGTCTGCTCTTTATATTTGCCAAAGAGGAACACTTGAGAACTTTCATTTGTTCCTAGAATTTCAGGGGTAGGAATAGGCAATAGCAATATGTTTGTGCCCTACTATAAAGCTATACTGTCCAATATGGGAGCCTATATATTTGAAATGTGACCACTCAGAATTGAAATGTGCTGCAAGCATAAAATATACACTGAATTTTGAAGACTTGGTACCAAACAAATTAAAATATCTCATTAATGCTTTTTAGTTTTAATTATATTGATTATCTATTGA